AAAATTAAACACCGGATATTGTGAAACCACGAAATCGGGCAATTCATAATAACAAAAACTTGAACCCTGAGATCGTTCATTACCTTCATAGAATATGAATGAATCGTGTCCTCGACTCATGAAAAAAGGGTGACACGAATTCTTAGGTGGAGTTACCCAACGATATAGGGATGTGGAGTGTGCGCGACTAATACAAAATTACCCAACGTTGTTATCAACAATAAATGTTAGTAAAACTTACGAATGGTGTAAAAGAGAAAAGAGATCCAAAATTACACCTCTCGTTTGTCACAATGAACCTCAGAGTTGATTTGTTTCCATGGTTAATGACTTCGTGATTTTAATTTTGTTGCCGGTAAAACCAGGTCTCTTTGGGAATAGTGTACGTGTATGATATTACGGTCACAGAAAGTTTGTACCTTACGAGAATTTTTGGTAAATTCATCTACAGGTACAACTTTCAAAATTTGGACACAATTTCACCGTCTGTTCATTTGTACGTGAAACGATAAATTACAGGTCCTTCACAGATGACCGTAGATTCATCTCTCATTGAAAAGGGATAGTGTGGTAATTCGCAATCACTTGCCAATGAAACATTACAAACTCTTGACAAGAAAAGTTGATTGTATATGTGATGAAAATTTAGAGGATTCTCGTCCTTCCGTACCGTGAACGTCGCTCACCTTTCCTGGAAATTTCAACCGCATCACTTTGCGTCACGAGCCATTGTGGAGCTCCTATTGGAGAGACCTTCTTCAAACGTGACTAGTAACGGTCTTGAACGAGACCATATCAACGAGTGTTAAGTAACGTTGACCCCGTATCTGTCGTACTCTTGGGACTTTCTGTGTTAACGCTTTTTTAACCGAAGAGAAGAAAATTTTATCTCTATTGCACTGCGTACATGGGCTGGTACCGGCCTTAAAGTGAGCAGAATGCCTTTTGTAAAAGGGTTGCATCATTATAGAATAAAATAAATATAATATATTCATATAAAATATATGAATACAAACATATTATCTAAAAAGGTAACTACAACTGTCAAATACATTTAGTGTAGTAAAAGTACAATATTTCCCACTGAAATGTAATTGAGTAGAAGTACAGAGTAGCAGAAAATGGAAATACTCAAGTATATGTATGTGGTACTTGTACTTTACTTAAGTGCAGTAATTGAGTAAGTGTAGTTGGTTACATTCCACCACTGATCTTAAACACGGCATGCGCTTTGAGCTGAAGCAAACTTAGAACATTGGTTGTTTTAACTGACAAATCCTACTCGTTTAGCCTTCAACTTATTTGGAGACGTGAAGGATACTTACTGTACTTTTGAGCCGCTGGCTTTCATCTATACATTTGGCACACACACACACACACACACACACACACACACACACACACACACACACACACACCTTTCAAAACAATCGCAAGGCCCAGGGTAGCATCAGTGCGTATACTTGAGGAAAAGGGATTTCGCTTAAGTCATATACAAATGATGCACAATTATGGCATGATATTATGTTAGAGCGAACTTACAATAGAGTCAAATGTCTCAGTTGCACAGTTTAGAACAAAAATCCTTTCTCTGGCTCTCAAGGCTCGCATATTTAAAAACAGCCAGAAAGACAACAGGTTGTGTGAATTAGGAGAAAGGGTGTCACATCTTTTTCTGAATTGTGAAAATCTATATACATTTAAATATCTGTTGAAAATCCAGTGTTGTTTTGCTGCTCTAATAATAATTTTGAATCCTTGTTTAATTTGAATGCTAACAAGTTGGCTGCCGTAGGTTTAAATCAGTGCTTCTCAAACTTTTTCATACCAAGGACCACCTAACTCCACAAATATAAAAAAACACATAGTTTTTCTTGAACAGATTACTAATCGCCTGTAAATGGTACAAACAAGTGGCAACATGTGTGATGAAGGTGTTACGCTGGGCTATATCGTGCAATCAAAAACTTAACCTCGCTCCATTGTGGAGATATTCCCACGAGAGTGCGGAAAACTTAAATTTATTTATTTAAAATGTGAAATTTTACCAATATACTCACGGACCACTAGGGGGCGCTCACGTACGCCAGTGGTCCGTGGACCACACTTTGAGAAGCACTGGTTTAAAGCATGATGTGAAATAAACGACTACATAATAAATAATTGTATTTCGTAAGCCTGTTTGGGCTGGGCATACTATTAATTGAAGACACGATGTTCTCAAAAATCAAATCATGATAAAATTCAAATGTTGCAGTTGCCTCTTTCCTACTACCCGGGTCAACATGTCACTTTTTGTCCTGCCTTGTTTCTCTGTGCGTTCAGGATGTAGAAGTGGAAAAGCAGTCTCACTTTGCCATAGTCAACATGAAGACTGCGTCCACAGCCACAGTGAGTGTTTTTACTAATAAACCAGAAGCTCCTGGTATGCTGCGACATCAGAATCTCAGAACGTGTTTGCTCAGCATCTTCATCTTCATCACTTGAATCTCTCTTCCCAGCTGCTGGTCCTGTCTCAGGTTGACCGAGTGTTGGATGAAGTGGACTGGCTTATTGCCAAAAAGAAAAGCCAGGCGCCCTCTGACACACCGGGTCCTGGTAAGTAAGCTTTTTCGCACAAATTCAGTCGGATAATGGTGAGAGTAGGGAGAGGACGAGATGCATCTCTGTCAGGGAGTGGCACTGAAACTTGTGATGTCCCTGATGTGTAGGGGGGGCCACCCAGACTGCGGGCCAGCAGGATCCCATAGAAAAAGCGGTGAAGCTGCAGCTCGGGACCCTTCTGACGGCGCTAAACGAGCTGGTGCAGACCGCCCTGCTGCCTGGCTCATGTACCATCACCCTGCTGAGAGAACTGAGCCGCACCTACACCACCCTCACCACGCTCATCAAATACGTGCGTTAACTGTGTCCACTCTTTGACCTCAGTATTAATGTAGTTTGTTGAGTGTGACTTTTAATTTGTCCCAATGTGTTGCATTAGTACATCCAGGTGTGTGCCAGTCAGCCCGGAGCACTGCCGGCTCGCCTCGAGAAGCTGGTGAGTCAGTGGTTTTGTTTATTGTGTTTTAACTTTATTACTTCAGTTGTCACGGTAACAAAGTGTTCTCTGTGCAGGTGAAACTGTCGGGCTCCCACCTCACGCCACAGTGCTACTCCTTCATCACTTACGCACAGGTACACTTCAGACGGGTCCCTGACAAAGCTCCAGGTTTTCAGGCTCATCGTCACTTCCGTTATTCTTAACTGTTTGAGATTATTTACAGCAACTTAAACAGGAAGAGCTGATGTGTTTTGTTTTTAGAGTGGAGAAATGAGCGTTGGAGGCGCAGATGACAAGAAGAAAAAGAAAAGAAATGAAGTGAACACTGCTGCCTCTGTAAGGACATTCAACTCGTAACATTCATTTCCTGATTTATGTGATTTGATAAGAAAAGCAATACATTCACAATCTAACAGTTTCTTTATTGTATCAAAAACAATATATAGATACAATGAACAACTTAAAACAAACTTCAATTCCTTTTTTTCTCCCTCGGCAGGCAAAACTTCTGCGTGAAACAAAAGCCATTCCTAACGTAATCTTCAGTATTGAACAGTACGAGAAATTCCTCATCACACTTTCAAAAAAATCAAAGGTATGTGAGCTGAAATATAAAGGTCCCTGTAAAACAGACCAATGGCTCCTTGAACACCGTTAGTGCGTTGCTATAGGTTAGGCCACTCATGTACAGTGTTTCATCAGCAGCTGTGTATTTCTCTGTTCAGGTCAATCTGATGCAGTACATGAAGTTGAGCACCTCGAGAGATTTCCGCATCAACGCTGCTTCTCTGGACGCAGCTCTGCAGGAGCAGGACGGCAGTCAGGAGGTCAGTGCACTCTAACACTGCAGCTACAAAAGGGTCTGTCATCCTTACACATTCACACTGTAATGGTTTGTTTTCACTCTTCCTCCATCTCTTTTAGACCAACCAGTCAGAGGAGAAGGAGGAGGAGCCCAAAAAGAAGAAGAGGAAACAGTGAGCTAAGAATCAGCCTCACTGATGTGGGACTTGCGCAGCTGCTGAATGGCTTTAAGTCTGTTCTGAGTAACAGAGGCTTCTCCCACACAGTGCTATCTCCCTCTGTCCAGAGAGCCTCTAGTGATGTCCAGTATTTGGTAGATGTCCAAGGCCTCACCTGTGAAAAGTTTGCACACTTGTATTAACTCTCTGTTTATGATCCTATAGTTAACTATATATTCAAGAGAAGTTTTCTAAACCATAGGTACATGTGAATTGTTACTTTCACTTTAAGTAATCAGTTGCTATTATATACAAAGAAAAAAAAAAATATGTATATATGTATATATATATACTACATATAGCATTCCCTAAGATGCCCCCACTTGCCTGAACAAAAGGAAGAAGTGGATACATGGTTTCCAATACACATAAATGCATCCCGGAGAGAAACCTAGCTTTGTTTCTAGTGCTGTTTTGTTTTAAAATAAATCTTGTTTTCTTTGTTATTCTGTTCACTTAAACAGTTGTTTATATTGTATCTTGCATGGCATTTTACCAAGCCAAAAATGTTGATGTATTTAATGTTATCTGCACACATTTGTCAAGTATATGTCATTTGTATGCATGACTTTGTAAAGCAGTGCAAATAAACTGAAAGCATACTGAAAAGGTAAAGTTTTTATTTTGGACAAATTCAATAGGCAAAACTTTTTTAGAAAGATGTTATAGATTATTTGATATTTAATGTGCTGTTAAAAGGTGCACGTGATTCCAGGGATTTGATGTTAATTAACCTTTTAGTTTTCTTATGCACATTGGTATAAAACACATTTTGAATAAATGTAGTAAAAGCGGATGATGGTGTGCAGAACTCACCAGGCGCTAGGCCGTATCTTCTCTCAACACCTGTGGGGTTGGAGGGGGTCACACAGTCCATGTTGACCTCCTTCCTCAGACACTGGTCAATGTCGATGGCACTGAAGAAAGCTACTGACTGGGGAAGGTCCTTCATGTCTAAAGCATGGGCGAACACGCTCCTGCAGGAGACACAAGCACACACTCAGAAAAGCTACCATGTTAACTGCCTTCTCTCTATTGGATATATTCTAACAAGAGGATGAACACCCAGCTGGGAGCAGACCTTGTGAGCAGGTTTGTGATCTGTAGAGCCAGCGCTGCTCGGTGGCGGTCTTCGCTGCAGACCAGGTACCGCACCTCGTCGTGGATGCTGATGCAGAAACGTCCATCGATGTCGTGCTCCTCCAAGAGCCACTTCATGGCCACCAGCATCAGGTGGAGGTAGTCCACCGCTGAGCTCTGCACCACCCAGTTCACTCTGCTGGTGATGAACTGACAAAACAAATATGAAAACATCTTACTTTAAAAAGGTATATTTTGTTATTCAGATTTTCTTGTCGATTAGCAGTAGCTATGTTCCTCATCCAGTTAGGGAAAGATACAGGCATTTCTATCCTTTTTTTTTATACAGTTAGTGACTTAAAGATACTTGGCTTTTGACAGTAAAAAGGCAATGCATATTTCATTACAAATCTCAGAAGTTCCACATGAGAAAAGAGGGGTTTGCCTGCTCACGCTAGTTAAATAGCACCATGTGAATTAGATTTATGTTAAAATGTTATCTTTCCCGCTGCCCCACCTCATTCTTCACTGCCTCGGGCTCCAGGGCTCTGCTGATCCTGCAGCCTAAAACCGGAGTGGCTGGCTGGGCTGAATGAGCGATCCTCTCCAGCTCGTTGAACATACTCGACTCCGTACCTCCCGCCCACAGGCGTTTCTCCACCATATCCCACCTCTTCCGCCGAGAGCTGAGGGGTACGAGGAACACAGACAAAGATGGAGGAATATGGAGAAACAGAGCACTTGGGAGAACATGGAGGAGAACATTTTGAGACAGTGAAAAGGCTCCTGACAAGTGTTAGTGTGATGTTTAACTTGCTCCCTTACCACTGTGAGGCCAGTCTATTGATCCTTCTTAACTCCTGCAGGTTGACACTGTCATCTTCCTCCCTCTCCACCTCTATATCCAGTTCATTGACCAGCCACTCACCCTCCTCGGACAATTGGTACCTGACAAAACATCAACACAAACATGAAGCACTAGTTCTCAATTTCATCGCACAAACGTACTAAGAATACAACTTTCACCACAAGACAAACTATTGTTGAGCGTACCTGCGTATGCCCTTTGTCAAGGCGTACATCTGCATGGCCTTACTGGCAGCTTCTGTCTGATCGAGCCGGTGGTTGAACTGCATCAGCAGCCTCTCAGCAAAGGGTTGTCCCGCTCCGTAAATGCGTCCGTAGTTGAACACCTTGGCGTGATCTCGGCTGATGCCCACAGTGTCCGCAGTGCGGCTGTGCAGGTCGGTGCCCTGACTCTTCTTCCCCTGCAGGGTCATCCAGCCGAACGCTGTGCAGCCTGAACCCAGAGAGACACAAGATAAACACATCCTGTCTGTTGAAACTATTACAGATTATGCAGATTACAGATTTTCGCAAACCTAATATGTTGTTAACAGTTCCCCCCCAAATCCCAAATACATATTGTTCCTTTTACCCATAGGCGGCGCATGAGGCTCAGGTTTGGGAAGGCTAAATAACTTTTTTTACCTGACGATGCCCGCCTCCGGCATCTATAGAAAATAGATCAACTCAGTGAAAGCACCGCCTGCTGACCAATCAGAGCTCAGTGTGCAGAGTTTAAATCTATCAAGTCATATTACAGGATAGAGGAAATACAGTTTAAACTGCCGTATGTAGAGAAGACGCCGACGTGTCGCACTTATCATTCATATCACATCATCAATCAGATCATCGATCATATAATATTTATTTCCTTATCTGAGTCAGCTTCTCGAGCCGTATCTGGCCGTGCAACACTTACATTGTCACATACTGTATGCAGAAGTATTATTTTAAGCAACACATTAAGTTGACTAAACACTCAACTCAAATGTAATTAAAGTCAGATCCACTCGTGTCTTAGATGGGGCAGTGGTATCATAAAACTGTTGTACGCTTTCAAACACTCGGTAGTTATTTTTTAACCAGTTGTTCTATATTCACCTTGCAGGTGCAACTATGTGGCTTGTATCCTTGATTATAGTTTAAGTCATGGATGTTTAAAGTTCATATTTGTCTAATATTAGTTTACTTTGCATTAATGAAGTATGACACTGCGCTATCAGTACACTTGTCCCTGTTTGTGATTGGTCAAATGTAGATAACCCCGCCCCTTTCACGTGAACGCGCTCTCAGCTGGAGAGAGAAACCCTGGCTTGATTTACCGAGTTGATAACTAGCGTCGTAGGACCGTTTAGCGAGATCTCGTTTGTTAGGGTTAGTTAAGATAACTCAAACATATCCAGGGTCTGTTGAACTAGCTTCGTAGTACAGGGCACAGGTGGCTGCATGCAGCGCTAATGTCAAAGACACAAACATTATATTTTAATTTTACCAGGATGCAGTGACACAAATATTTGGGAAGTCTTAGCCTTCCCTAGCCTTCCCTAGCCTACAGTCCCTGCCGCCCCTGCGTTTACCTGTATGTTTAGGGTGCGAGTTATCTAGTGATTGAGATAGGGGCTGTCTGGACTTCTCTGCCTTCTCCCTTATAATCAAACCACCAAAAAACATTTAAAATGTTTCCTTCCAGAAATCCTGACTAAAGATAATCCACAAACCGTGTTGAGAGCAGTTTCATGTAGGAACTAATATCTTTCTTCCAAACTAAACCCCCCAGCCGTATTACCATCTGCAAAGCCTGCGAGGCCGAACCAAAATAATCTAGATTATTTAATATCACTACCGGTTACAGAAAAAAATATAGAAAGAACTTCAAAAGACTTCAATAGGACAAATCTCACCGTGCATGCCAGCAAAGTGAGCCTCTCCGAGCACAGCAGCGATCCACAACTCTTGAGAATCTACATCTGCTCCCACCAGGTGATATCCAGGGGGCACCTGCACCATGGCCTTCAGCTCACTGCCCACCCGGTCCCGCTGTGGACACGAAATAAACTGTTAATAAGGAACATTTCTCTTCTGGCTGGTAACTGCACCTCAGCTCTTGTGATATCGGCTTTGTCTCTTACCCGTGCGTTACTGGCTGTCAGCCATGTTGGCTCCACGGCTCTGCGTGTGACGGTTCCAGCGGTGACGACCTGAGGTAATATGGCCCCATACTGGCCCTCTTCATCAAAGTCTTTGTGTCTTTAGGAGACATGGAGGTAGTTATAATGAGCAATGACTATTATCCACAGTAAGGCGGATTAATAAAGAAGATAGATATAGATATGCAAGACAAACCTGCTGACAGTACGAGGGAGCTCCCCCTTTCGCAGCCACAGCACCATCTGAGAACTACAAAGACGGTGAAATCATATACTGGCCATCTTTACGACTACAAGATGATTCACTTTATGGTGGAAACTGATAGGTACCTTATGCGTTTATGGGCATTCCTCCAGAAGGACATCATTTTGTTAATCTCCAGAGCTCGTGTAGCGTTGGTTCCACCATGTCCGGCCCTGAGGGTCCCATCCTCCATCTTGGAAAGGAAGTCTTTTGAAAAGGGACTGCCGACATTGTTGTGATTTCCATCCTGAAACACGTAATTAGTCAGACGATTCAAATAATTCAGTGAAGGGACAATGTGTTGAGCTAGGTTTTCAGGAAGAGCAGTGAAACTCTACCTTATGAGGTAATTTGAAAAACCAGCACCCTGGAATATCAACATCGCTGTAGGGACCGTTTCCATGGTGATAATGGCAGTGGCTCTCCTCTGGGACGTTATGTGGATCTTGAAACTGTTGTTGATACAGAATCAAAATGGTGACTCATACAAATAATCACAGATGATGATGTATCATTTCATCACTGCGAGACAAAACATGTGAAGAATAGAAAGAAATACAAGCTGCATGTTAGACCAGATAGTGCCGTTCAATGTCATCAAGGCTATAAAAGGAATGGAAATATAGAAATAAAGTACAACAATGTATTAAAAGTGCTCTTGATACAAAGTAAAAAAAAGCCATGACCATTTCACTCACCTTGTTTGTCTTCTTCTCCCCATTTTTCATCATTCTGACTCCATTTTCCTCTGTCAGACTCTCCAAGGAGCCTAACTCCTCCACCTTAAAATTAGGTAAAGAAAAACACCTATGCCATCATGTACATTAAACATCACAGAGACCCTGGGCCTGATTGATCATTGATAAGGAAGTAGCATTGATACAAAACTAACACCAAGTCGATACAACACACATTTCAGAGCCAAAACACTTGATCCCGTCATTTACATAATTTAAAGAAAGTCATTGAAAGTCATGCAGCATTGGTAAACTAGCTGTTATGGTTGCTCTAATTTATAACAATGTATGTACAGGCATTTTAATGATTATGATTTTAAAGTTATACAACATTTCGCTTTATATGATTTCTAAACAGTGTAATTTTGGATATTTATGAAAAATACAGCCTTTTGTCTATACAAGAATGAAGTAATTGTAATATGAGTGTTTGCACCTTGGCCCACACTGTGCTGTCCGTCCACACGAGGTCCTCTGAAGGGTGGCAGTCCTGATACTCAGGCCGTGCTTTGCTGTTCTGCTCACAATACTCTCTGTAAAAACTCTCAATAGCTCTGAAGGACAAAACAAAGCTTGAATAAACACACATCCTATGCTAACCACATGTAAAAACTCAATATTAACTAGCTCTTGTCTTGATGATGTAAGCACAGAGTAAGGTACCTGTGAGGGCACACAGGCCCTTCCCCACCCTCTTCCTCCTCTGACACCAGGTTATCTCTGCGTCCAGGCACCAGGTAGCCCCAGCCATGTTTGTCTACGTAGTGCAGGGGGAAGCCATCCCAGGTCAGACCCATCAGCTTAGGAGTGACTCTCATCTGTAGACTGATGAGGTTGGCTCCCGGGGACCAGCTGTCCTCCGCAGACATCTTCTCACACAGCTTACGGTACCAGCTGCAGGACACAGTAAGTACCATGTCGGATGAAAGATATTAATTATTTGATGGCTCTGGGTGCTCGTGAGTGACCTTACCCTGGGTGTCCAGGCAGATGCTGTCTTCTCTTAGGAAGTCGACTCAATGTGTCTTTCAGCTTCTCCACAGCCAGCCTGCTGGGGCAAGGGCCTTCCGTCTCCTCTTCAGAGGGTGGGCCTGGGTCTAATATCACAAATTAATCATCTGCTCTGTTATTTTTAACCTGGAACTGTTGTTATAGTATTTATAAATCATACTTAAACAGGATCAATGCTTTTACCTTCTTCCGAGTCTGGAAGTGGAGTACCAACTTTTGTTTCTGCTTCCTTTTTGGAGTTTTTATTTTTGCTGACTGGTACTTTCTTCACCTTGAACTCCTGTACATCCCACTCAAGATCCCAGAGCCAGGGGTCTTCTTTATATCTAAAACATATATACATTTACAGACAATGTGGCTGTTTTAATACAAAGCATTTTCACTTGATCACACACTTAAAGCCAACATTTTAGAAATGGCTATAGTCATAAAACCTGGTAGATGCTCTTCTCACCTGTCATCCTGCAGCAGCTGACAGGCATCATCCGCTAAAGTCATCAGAGATTTCTTCATCTCTCTCTGTAGCTCTTCGTAAATGTCCTGAGAATCTTCCAGGTAACGCCCCCAGTTTTGATTGACAGGGAGGTAGCTCACACCCATCTCCAGCATCCCTGAGAACGTCACTGGATGAGGGCACCTTAAAAAAGAGATTGCAGTATTATGCAGACAGCGCAATGTGACATGCTTTGGATTCAAATCTAGTACATATAATAGTGAGTAGACAACGTTTGCTTGTTGGGATTGACTTACCTCTCCATAAAGAGGGGAAGCTGCTCTGTGAAGACGTGATGTGTGGCCTCGACGTCCATGGCGCAGTACTGCATTAACTCCTGTAGAGGTCAGCAAACCCACATGTATCCGTCTGTTCTTCATGATGCATGCAAATCGTTTCGAGGACTGACTTAAACATTTTGCCTTTGATAGGACATCTGACATAGGATTCGTCGTGAACATCTTACCTGGAAGTTGTTCCTGACATCAGCCATGCTGCCCTTCACAAATATCTCTCTGGCCTCTTTCTTCAGTGGTGGTCCTCCCACATACAGAGCATGGACATCAGCCAGGTTGTTAATGCTGCTAATATTAACCCAGTCCCAGGAGCCGATCTGTTTACAAAAAACATGTCTCAGTGAGTTCTACTAATGACAAAATCCTAGAGAGGTTTTAGCTTAGACATGATGGCACTAACCGCTGGACCTTCCCGTTTCTGTCCAGCTTTTTTAAAGTGTTCCTTGACCTCCTGAAGACCCCTCCTTTTACCCATCTTATTGGCCATCCACAGTGTGCGCTGAAACCCTGTCAGCCCAGAGATGGCCATGTGAAGGCTCATGGTGTCCATGAAGCGCACCTTAGAACCCTTTAGGGAAGAAAACACTTTTATGTCATAAACATACTAATGTAACTCATACAACAAGCATCATACAATTGTACAATAGAGATTCATATTGGAGAAGGAAGGGGACAGAGGGCTAGAAAGGTCAGTTGGTAAAGAGTCGAAGATGTAACAATAACAAAAAAACACTATCTGAATACTGACCTTTAGTAAGTATTGCTCCTTAATGAATGTTCTGTCAAAACTGACATTATGGCCTACTATGAGCCTCTCCTTCCACTGACCCCCTGGTGGGCGGGCAGAGTTGATCGATGTCTCCAAGGGGATGAGGTCAGCTAGCGTCAACTGGTTTGACCACGAGTACCGCTCTTCAATCAGACGCTTACTACACCAGGAGTACCTGGCAAGTGAGAACATGTTTCCATTGCTGTTTAAAAGGCTGTAATTGCATTATTTTGTTATTACATAATCATAATATCAGTAGCATGAAATGTTCCTAAAATGACCATAACATTGTTAATCCCAATTGATTTCTGCGACAATGTATAGTTCAACAACACTAGTTATTTTTGACAGGCCTTATAATGCCATTCATTGCTTTTTCTCCCCTTCACATGATCTTTACACTTCTTGTTGTTCCTCACCAGTTAGTGGAAGACATAGCAACAGCCATTGTGGGACACCGTCCCTCCACCATGCACACCTCCACATCAAACACCAGTGCAGTCTCCTCCGGGAAATCGACCTTCTGACTCTCCCCATCTGGCCCATAGCGTGTCCAGCCGACCTCCCAGCTCCACTCCTGAGGCATGGCAGGGATCTCCGCCAGCTGCAGCTCGGTGGCCGCCTCAAGGTAGGGTAGACTTTGCTTCTGGGCCAAGATTCGAAAGTGCTCGTCAATATTGTTGCCATACATTTGGGGAAGCTTCAGCTCCACTTCAGGCAGCAGTGAAGTTTCCTTCCCCCACAGCTGATGTTTCTGCAGGTGCCTGATGCTGCGCTCCACTTCCTCCTCTCTGTACTCTGGTTCCTGCCCTCGGAAGATCTGGTCATGGAGGTTCTTTGACAGCATCTGAATGTTCAGGGGGTTCATGCGGTTCTCCGTGGACTCCTCGCCATGAAGAGAATGAGGCTTGAAGGAGAAGAGGCAGCGTTGACATCTCCATTGTAGAGGGATGAGAGTCCTCTGCAGAGGAGAGCGCAACACATGCAGCATCACCTCATGAGAACTTCACACTCGAGCTGCAAGACATAGAGACAACATCAATGTTATGTCATGATACAACTTATCCCAGGTTTGTCTCACATGTAATGTAACGATAGCCACAAACTGGGAATAGATACAGCTATACTAAGGTACTAAATAGTGGGGATACAGATTTGAAAATAACGATATTATTTGATCATGTATTGTGAGTGTACTATTGTACAAAGGCTGTAAATGTCTTGGTCAAACAACACGGTTACAGATATTTCACTCAAATTAAGCTAACTTCTAGTCATTTGCAATAGAGCCTGTTTAACCTGGTGCGTTGAATGAACATGCTTATCACACAACTTTTACATTAACGCTAGATATACGTGTACTGGAACCTGGACTAAACACTAGCTACTGTAGGATAGTTACACACGCAGAAACAGACACTTTTCTTATTTGGTTTAATCAACTGAAGTTAACCCCAACCTGCTAACCTATATTTACAAGCATTAAACCCATGCCCCAAGGGTACTGGTGCTAATTTTCGGAGCAGCCAAACAACATAAAAGCTGTTATATCCTGCACTAGCAAGTGTTTTAGCTAGACTATCGGGAAACAAAGAATAGCAAACTCACCCGATAAGTGCTATGAGGTATAATGTTAAAGTTATCAAGCATAATATGTTTAAAAAGTTCCACAACACATGAGGTTGTAAACTAGCATGGTCCAACCATTGGGTAGTATAACAAACGGAGCCTGCCAGCGACCCCAAGCGGTCCGGATGACTGCATTGGTTTTACTATAACAAACAAATAATATGAATAACAGCATTGTTGGATGTGCAACAGTCTTGTACAATAATCGATTATTCACAACTTAACATTATCATAACTATCGTCATGATCGTGTAATTGTTTATATAAAAATTAGAAACGGTTCCAATATGGACACAGCGTGGCCGCGTGGCCTAATGGATAAGGCGTCTGACTTCGAATCAGAAGATTGCAGGTTCGAGTCCTGCCGCGGTCGCATTTTTGTAATGTTGTGATTAGGATGACTATGTTTCGTCACAGTGTTCCCTTCAGAAAAAAGGCATACTGTTATGTTATTGACATAAAGCTGGTTTAACTGCTACGCAATTGACACAATTGTGGTTGCAAATTCAGCGCATTATTGTATTTGATGTGGATGTAATAACTGAGGAGGCAGTGTGTTGGTGTCGGTCTTATTTCACTGTAACACCTGGCTTTATTCAAGCCCCAGCTAGCCTACGCTTTTCCCCAAAGGTACTTCGCTTTGAATTACACATCTATGACCATGCATATTGGTATTTCCTGTCTAGCTCTAGATGTGTTGTGTTTGTCTGTATTGTATAAGATAGGACGATTTCATTCTGTTGTGTTTTGTCATTGCTTGTCAGAGGATGGCGGATGACACGGAGGATGTGGAGCTGGATTTTGCTGCTGACGAGCAGGAGAGGGCGCGGAGAAGCGCAGTCATAAGGTGGGCTGCAGGGGATGTTTACTATATGGCTTCATTCACTTATTTGTTTTGCACACAGTAGACTACTGTTTTAACTACATTTGACAATAAAGCTATCTAGTACAATAGCCTGCTGTGTGGCACATTTGTTTTGTTAGCCTTTTACAATTTGATTGAAAGGTAACCAGTCTTAGTAAAAGGTCCATCTTTGCTGTAGGCTACAAGACGAATTGTCTCTGCTTGCTTCAATTCTGTCATTGGCATGTGTATACAGGGTCTTCATCGTTTCTCATCTTGAACCTTCTTTTCAGACACCCCCTTGCCTCCTTTTTCCACCTGTTCTTCCGGGTGGTTGCCATTGTTGCCTATCTTCTCAGTGACTGGATCAGCGAGAACTTTGCATCTTGTTTTGTGCTAATCATCACTCTGCTATCTTTTGACTTCTGGTCTGTTAAGGTGAGAGGTTGAGCAGGTCAGCTGCTAATTCCCCTATTTTCCCTATGCCTAACCCCTTCCCTGCCCTCTTGTGCCCTTCAGTACTGTTTAATCCCCTGCTTTCACCTCTCTGGTTTTGATTTCTCATATTTGTCCTGTGTTTCAGAATGTGACTGGCAGGCTGCTGGTCGGCCTGCGCTGGTGGAATCAGATTGACGACGATGGAAAAAGCCTCTGGGTGTTTGAAGCCAAAAAAGTAAGATATTGTGTGCCATTTTGAATGCAGAAAAGCATTTTACACATTTGAACATTTCAATGTATGTGTGCAGGCCTCCCGCGACAATAACATTGGGACAGAAGCAGAGGCCAGGATATTTTGGCTGGGTCTCATCATCTGCCCTCTCATATGGATATGTTTCTTCTTCACCTCCCTGTTCTCCCTGAAGATTAAATGGCTGGTGAGACACAGGTTGCTTGTGTGCATGCCCTGCATATGTATAGAGGCACATCACATAATGCCCCTCTTTAAATGCATCATCGTCTGTCTTCCCCAGTCACTTGTGGTAGCTAGTATTTCTCTCCAAGCGGCCAATCTCTATGGTTACCTCCGCTGCAAGGCAGTGGGAGAGGATGGCCAGCATGCAGACTCTTTCACGGGGCAGCACCTCCTGCAGCGTGTGAGTGGCTGACTGCAACATTTAACATGAACATTTTCAACATCTCAAAGCTTATTAACAATGAACATAAACTCAATAATAATGTATCCTCTTCCAGCCAGATATCATCTTTGGAATACTGTGAAGATTACCTCGGCCCGTAAAGCCACTCTGTTGTGTTTGTGTGTGTTTAAATGTGTGTGTCTTTGAGTGTGTTAGCGAGTGGGAGAAAGAGAGAGATAGATGAGAGCTGCCTCATCTCCAAAGTTCCCATTGCATATACTTGAATGGCTGTGTGCCTTGTGCATGCCTTATGCAGCTGACTGTTCACTTCACATGATGCCCGTGGATCAGTCTGGCAATTATGTCAATAAAAGAAAGTGCATTTTAAAATATGTTCCTACTTTATTGTTGGTTGTTCACATATTTGCAAAATGATTGCAAAGAAGTACAAAATCATGTAATACAACTGCTCAGATTAATAATTATTATTCATACATAATTTGAAATCATATAGGCTCAGTTAATTTAAAAAAATTGTATTCAGTTAATAAAATGTATTTATTAGTACATGTTTGTATTACATTACTGTAATATATTGTTGGATTATACTATCTAACTCAAAAGTATTTTTAATTCCGAAAATAATCTGCTGGGGAAAATTGTCTGCTTTGTTGATCAAGACAATTCCAATACCTCCAGAAATGTTTCTGCTTAGTGGTCAAACCATTAACAAGAATAACTGTTAGCTAATGTATTGGAGCCTATCTCTAAACTGGAATGCTGTGTTAGTCTAAATAGTCCGACCATATCAATCTCTGAACCAATTAGCTCTTTTTGTCTCATTAAAATTAAATATTAGCGTAACACACAACGTATGCAACTATTTGCAGCTATAAGAATTACTTGTATCCATATTAATTTTGTTTCACTGTGGTTTCTACACGTTTTGAACTTTTTTTTTGTCCTGACCGTCCAGATTTGGAGGGAAATGTTTATACTTGGCCGTGGCCCCAGAGACTATTAAATAGCGTGGCCCCCGTGATCTAAATCCACATACTAGCTAGCTAGACCTCAAAGATCTTTTATTTGTCGAGAAAACTCAGCTGCCTGCCTCTGGCCGTTAGAACCCTGTGAGTTGCATAAAGGGCGGAAATTCATCTTTTTGAGCTGACTTTTCTAAACTGAAAAGAGCCTACTTATGATATACAGAGTATTTTCCAGTGAATAAAATATCGATCAAAGGTAGCAACATTTGCATGCCTCTGTTACCAGATGTTTTTTAATTGTATTATCATTACATTGGTGGTAATACAATATAATAATATAATAATATTGGTGGTGTGGATAAGTGGATACTTTGGAAGTTGCAAACCTTACTTTACCTGTGTAACAAAGCAGATGGGCACCATTAGAAGAATTACTTTGCTCATGTAAATCTGAATATATATTATAATATATATCACTTTTCTGAGAAAATGTCAAGCAAGCTCAATATTGAACATGTGAACAAACTGCAGAGGCATTATAAGACTTGAAAAAGAAAAAAAACATGTGTAAGATTTTAAATATATTCATTCATAGATAAGATAAGACTTTATTTATCCCGAAGGAAATTGTTGTGCCAGAGTAACCAAAATACAATAAACACAGCAGCACAACAGCAAAACTGTACACTAAAAGTGCAGTAAAAAGAGCAATTAAACATCTACAGAAAATATGAAACATATGGTCACATAATCAATGCAATTATTAGCAGTATTTAGTAGTGCAAAAAATGAAACGTAGTGGCAGTTACGTAATTGCACGTTATCATAGCATATTATTAATAATACTAATATTGCACATAGTTATATAGCAGCGAGTGTATTGTAATGATGGTAATTACATTTATATTGCACATAGTGTTGGTGTGGAAGTTCTCGGTTCCCTTTACTTAAGGGTGAAGAGTTAAAGAGTTTGATGGTCACTGGGAGGAAATACCTCCTGTGGCGCTGTGGTGGTCTTCGGTGATCTCATATAGCTAACTAATGGATATACACTTGACATTACCATCATCCCACAAACTGCTGTTTGGAAAATGATGATGCTTATATACTGTAGGTCAACTTTTAACTTGTAATTTATATTTTTTAATTAAAATTGTATAAGAAATCCCTCAAAGTTCTAAAGTAAAATATTGAAATGTGAACATTGCGAATTTTGATGATAACTTGGCGAATTCCACAATGTTAAAAGATACACTAAAGTCAGTATATGTAACATTGAACCAATATATTATTATTATTATTATTAGTAGTAGTAGTAGTAGTAGTAGTAGTAGCAGTAGTAGGTAGTAGTGTTGGTGTTGAAGAAATTGCAAAAAGATTTAGAAAACTGTGAGGAGTGAGACGTCTTATTGACGCATTCTTTGGTGCTCTGTGATTGGTCAACACGCCGCCCTGGCATGACGTCAGTGCGGAGCGAGTAGAGGGAGCGCGCAGCCCCGAGGAGAGGCAGAAGCTGGAGGATTGAGAATGAAACAGGACTCACCTGAGAGCAGCTCTCCACAAGGGCCCGATGTAAACGCAGAGAAAACCATCAGGAAAATTCATAACGACCTAAAGTTGAGGACATTTCTCTCCAGAGTCTGCTTTGCGTCTCAAACAGGTAAGACACGCGCCTGGAAATACACATTAGGCTATTTTTAACGTACATTTTTACGTGCTTTCAACCTGCTGTCTTGCCGTGTCCATGTGTCATTTATGCGGAACATTTAGGGAAACATGACATGCATGTTTAGTTTACCTTTTGTTTGTGTTTTAACGTGGTGGCATAATATTCAACCACCAACACAAACGCCCTTGATTTTCATTTAAAATGAGGGTACGTTTTTGGTCCCCAAACAGTCAAAATCCCTTGTTCTTCAAAGTGCTAGAATATTACACCACGCTCCTCGTTCATTATAATGATCAGTAACAAATTGGTTTCTGTAATAGCTTTTGGGGATAATCCTAGTGTGAAATAGTCTAGTTTTAGCAGAAGTAGGCCAATTGCAACTCTCATTAAAAGTAGGGGATGCTTTGCCCCCGGGAACACCCAATAAATTAAGCTTTTAACCCAGCTCCATAAGTAGATTGTTTTAAAGACTCAGTTGTGAATCTCGGCATCAGTCAATCTGCTGCATCAAAGAAACGCTTCTTTACCTAACGCTGTCTCGGGTTCATGGTCATGCGATCGTACAGACTTTTCAGGCAACATATTCTGCAATTTTAGCTTCTATTATACCTGTTTACATGTATAGCTACAGGTTTTAAGTTTTAAAGGCTATATTTATGATTTTATAACAATTAGTCAGGGTTTGAAATAACACAAATCATTCATTCTTAGTTACCAGATAGTCTTAATGTGGCCTTACATTAAAAACACCTCGTGTAAAAGTAAACATTGTTAGATAACAAATCTCCAGAATACAGCCATGTCCTACGAATTGTATGTAGGCTATGAGTATATAACCTGAAGGTGATATTTTTGAATGCATCTGAGCACGTGAAATGTGACCTGGTTGTATTTCAATGTGGTCCTTTGCCAGTTTAAACTAGATTATTAAAGTCTCTCCGGGGTTTATATGAATATAAATAATAAGTTTCACATATGACTCTTTGTAAATGATGAAAAGGCTACAATATCCGATTTCTTATGGAAATAAATCGGATGTTAATTGCAAGAAATGCTAATGCAAGGGCCTCCCACAAATTGACTTCGGCCCATACAAATTCTTGTTTTTATTTTCATACCAAAGCCTAAAGTAATCATTTTATATTTTTGAAGGAGGCTGTTCAAAGCTACAATTCAACCAACAATTGAAACTATGAAGAATTACCTCACTAAGACATTAAACAGGCCTTCTACGAGACACGTTATTCATCACAGGAATATTTGACTGCAGGTTGATTTAGTTAGCTTCTTTAACCAACACAATATGTGTTAGCCTACATTTTAACAAATGTGATCCAACTATTTCCCTCGTTTTGTTCAATTCTGCTATTCTCCGTGCGTAATTGTAATAAAAAAAACTGCTTACGTGTGTTTTCAAATATCTAAGGCCTTCTAATCCATTTCCATCCTCCTTCCAGATCAAATCAGCATGACGTCGGGCTACAGAACGAGATTGTGAGGGGCTCTGTTTCTGTCTTTGGTTATCTAGCTGTATGAGTTTTAAATACAGCATAAAGCTAGATAACCGAAAGTAGAAACGACTTCCATAACATTGAGTTTATTCCCGAAAAAAAGAGGACTCCTCAGGCTTTCGACTCATAAAGGTAAGGAAATAGTTTTGCTTTGAGGTTTTTGATAAAAACGTCAATAGCCTATAAATAGCATAATAATGTCTTTAAACTTTTTATAATAAACTTTGATGGCAGATTAATAGTTTGCAAAGCCATATCCTTGCAGTGCTTTAAAAAAAAAATCTGTTTATTGTATAAGTCACCTCTTACCCTGACATGAGTAAGGGTTATTTTTAAGTAAAACAAAAATCTTTTTGAGAAATTATGCCCCAAAAAAAACGCAGATTCAAATTTTTTACTTTTTAAATAACTGGCCCTGTTGGGGGGGCTCTCCATTCAGACCCCTGCAGCATGGTGCTGAATGTTAAACAGGGCGCTCGATGGGTGAAGGGGAATAACTTCGAATGTAACTCCAAAACCTACTTCATTTAAAAAATGTTTTAGGAAAATAGTGAATAATATTTATTTTAAATGCACAAGGTACATTTTGGGTCTCAATAGGCTTTCTTTCACAGCAGACAATTTGACTTGTCATATTACAAAAAGCACGGGTTTAATTCATAAGATTAACGGTGGCTCTGTTCTATTTAAATGCCCCAGTAAGTCATGATGCTTACAACAGAACCCTGAAACTGAAGCAGCTAAATGGGATTCAGCCATCATTAATTCTATTATTTACACCTGGGCTTTTTCCATTGTGACACGTGACAAGTGTCTTCTGTGAAAAAGGCCGACCACATCTCAGAGTGTTTGTTCTCACCCTCCTGCTCACCTGCAGTAAGTGAAAAACAGTAAAGCTACAGTCCTCCAGGATTTCTCTCATCTCTCGAGGTTCCTGCTTAGGGACTCACACAGTGCTGCAAAGACAATATTTATATTTTTAGAAAGCAGATCCTCCTATATTCATCATTGTAAAGCATACTGCTTTATTTATAAGGAGATTTTTCAATTTATGATGCATTTAAATGTCACCTTTTTGTTAAAAAGAAAGGGAAGGCTACTGCTTTGTCCAGGTACTAATGGCTCTAAGACTGCTAATGATGCAGTTGAGTGGTGTTGCTACCTACACACACAGGGCTAAGAAAAACACTTGGCGCCTGTATTTAAAGCTGTATCTAATCTTGG